TGGATTTATTTTAAAATCTGCAAAAATTTGCGGTTGGTTTTCCTAAGAAAATATCTTTTAGAAATCCAAGTGGTTTTGTTCCCCTAAAATTTTATTTTAAAAAAAATCCACTTGGTTTTATTTTCTTCAAAAATTTATTTTTGAAATCTCATTAGATTTACCCTCAATCTTCTCTTCCAACATTTATCTCTCTTCTTATTTGCCATGGTATTGGTGTATATGCCGGTAAATTCATTTCCGTTTGCTGTGGTTGGCAACACCAAGACACAATTTCACAACAAGACCCACAATCAAACATGTTCGAACCACACAAAAGCATTTGAAATCTTAGTCAAAGAGGTGGCTCTACACAACCAAGCATTGTCGCATGTTTGAGGGTTTGAAAATTATTTTCTTGAGACTTTTTTCATTTCAAGTGAAATATAGTTTGTTGTTGTGTTGTGTTTTTATTTGGGGGAGGTTAGGTTGGTTTTTTGTGACTGAATGAATGCACCAAATTCCATTTGGACTTACGTAAAATATGATGATGACCGGCAATTTGGCAGGAGGGCAGGTCAAATTTTCCAATACGACTTTCGAAATGCACAAAATTTCACCAATACAGGAGGGTGATGGGAGAAATAACTTAATTTTTTTTTCTGGTAATTAAGCTAAGACCCCATTAAGGCCGTAAATATTTCGAAGAAGGTGGGACAATGGACAGTTATCAGTGGCGACTGAACTGAAGGTTGACTATGGAATTTGGCCAAGGGGAAAGTTGCAAAACACATGAGCTGGCCACATGTTCAGCTCATTCATAAATCCAACCAGTCGCCAGTTAGTCTAATGAATATTTCAAAGTTTGTCTGCTATACGTTGGGCGCCGTTCTACGTAAGCGTGTGATAAGATTTAATAATAGAATTTTTTTGTCATTATTAACTACATGGTGTTTGAGCAGCAGCAGCAGCAGTTATCGAAAGGAGAGCTTATATCATTCAAATGCCTTCCATTCAAATATTTTTTTTTAGTTTTTCTTTCTTTCCTTCGTTTGCTTTGCTTGGCCTGCTCATTCATTCATAGTTATTTTTGTAACAAATGACTGAAATAGAATTGTTAGTGTCATTGCGTCATTTATTTTATGGTTCTATTATTTGGTTGTCATGTGCCTTGGCCAAAAAGTACACAAGGATATGGAAGGACATTTCGAAAATAGGATAACCAACGTGGAGATGAGTATAAGGTGTCTATGGCTTTGGCGTCAATATGTGCTGTGTGGTAATTAACCCAATTTGAAAAGTTTTCGTAATAATAACACGTGGCTCTCAAACTCCGATTTTTTGGGTAATCGATAAATAATATTGGAGTTATTAGAAGATTAAGAAACAAGCAAAATACAGTTGAGTAAAATCGAGGAGAATAATATCAGATTGGGCGCCACAGGTATGGGGGATGTATATATTTTCCATTTCTAAGGAAATTGAAAAATTTCATAAAAAAAAATTGGAAAACTACCACTTAAATGAAAACCATTGTATGAGGACTGTACGAAGACATGGACCTGTATACGAATTTTTTATTCATAGCTTGTAGTGTCCATTACGAACTTCAAATACGAAATTTGTTACAAGTACGGTGAATAAAGTCGCAAAAATCATGAAAATACGCCATATCGTGAGGTACCGAAGACGTGGACCTGCATAGACAATTTTCTGTCTTAGGTTGTAGTACCCATTAGGATCTTCCAGTAGGAAATTTGAAACGTTTCCGATGAATAATGTCGCTAAAATCATTAAAATACCGAATAAAGGGAGGTACCGTTATATGGGGGCTATACGAAGACTTTGACCTGCATACAAAATTTTTTGTCATAGGCTGCAGTACCTATAACGATCTACAAATACCAAATTTGAAACAATTCCGGTGAATAATGTCGCTAAAATCATGAAAATGCCGAATATCGGGAAGTACCGTTATATGGGGGCTATACGAAGACGTGGACCTGCACAGACAATTTTCTGTCTTAGGATGTAGTACCCATTACGAACTTCAAATACCAAATTTAAAACAAATCTGGTGAATAATGTCGCTGACATTATAAAAATACCGAATAATTGAAGGTACCGTTATATGGGGGCTATACGAAGACTTGGACATGCATACAAACATTTCTGCCATAGGCTGTAGTACCTATAACGAACTTCAAATACCAAATTTGAAACGAATCCGGTGATAAATGTCGCTAAAATCGTCAAAATACCGAATAAAGGGAGGTACCGTTATATAGGGGCTATGCGAAGACGAGGACCTGCAAAGATAATTTTTTGTCATAGGCTGTAGTACCTATAAAGAACTTCCACTACGAAATTTGAAATGATTCCGATGAATAATGTCGCTAAAATAGTCAAAATACCAAATAAAGTGAGGTATAGTTATATGAGGGCTATACGAAGACCTGAACCTACACAGACAATTTCCTGTCACAGGCTGTAGTATCAATTTCAAACTTCAAATACCAAATTTGAAACGATTCCGGAGAATAATGTTGCTGAAATCATCAAAATGCCGAATATCGGGAGGTACCGTTATATGGGGGCTATACGAAGACTTTGACCTGCATACACGATTTTTTGTCATAGGCTGTAGTACCTGTAACGAACTTCCAATACGAAATTTGAAACAATTCTGGTGAATAATGTCGCTAAAATCATCAAAATACCGAATATCGGGAGATACCGCTATATAGGGGCTATGCGAAGACGTGGACCTGCATATAAAAAATTTTGTCATAGGCTGTAGTGCCTATAACGAACTTCAAATACCAAATTTGAAACAACTCTGGTGAATAATGTAGCTAAAATCATGAAAATGCCGAATATCGGGAGGTACCGTTATATGGGGGCTATGCGAAGACGTGGACCTGCATATACAATTTTCTGTCTTAGGTTGTAGTACCCATTAGGATCTTCCAGTACGAAATTTGAAACAATTCCGGTGAATAACGTCGCAAATATCATCAAAATACGGAATATCGGGAGGTACTGTTATGTGAGGGCCGTACGAATAAGTGGACCGGCACAGACAAGTTTCTGTCTTAGGCTGTAGTATCCATTTCGAACTTCAAATACCAAATTTGAAAGAATTCCGGTGAATAATGTCGCTAAAACCATCAAAATACCGAATATCGGGAGGTATAGTTATATGAGGGCTATACGAAGACCTGAACCTACACAGACAATTTTCTGTCACAGGCTGTAGTACCAACAACGAACTTCAAATACCAAATTTGAAAGAATTCCGATGAAAAATGTCGCTAAAATCATCAAAATACCGAATATCGGGAGGTACAGTTATATAGGGCCTATGCAAAGACGTGGACTTGCACAGACAATTTTTTTCTTATGCTGTAGTATTTATTATGAACTTCAAATACCAAATTTGAAACAATTCCGTTACATAATGTCGCTAAAATCATCAAAATACCAAATATCGGAAGGTGTCGTTATATGGGGGCTATACGAAAACGTGGACCTACATGGCCCATTTTCAATACCAAAAGTCCCGCAGACATAACATACATTTGAGTAAAATTTTATCACTCTACTTCAATTCGTTCGGAAGCTAGAGTGTGATTCCACAGTGAGTTCCACAGACGGACAGGCGGATAGACGGGCGGACATCGCTAAATCGACATAGAATTTTATGCTGATCAAGAATATATATATACTTTCTGGGGGTCTAAAATGTATATTTCGAGGTGTTACATAGGGAATGACAAACTTAATATACCCTCCATACCCCCTCCTCATAATCAGCATAAAATTCTAAGTTGATTTAACGATGTCCGTCTGTCCGCCTGTCTGTTGAAATCACGATACAGCCCACATTATTTGACGTAGAGCGCCAAAAGTTAGCAGAGCAATTTGTATTGTGTCTAGGATGGTTGGTATTGAAAATGATATATCGGTCCACGTTCTGGTATAGTCCCCATATAACGGTACCTCCGATATTCGGTATTTTGAAGATTTATGCCACATTTTTTCCCGGATTTGTCTGAAAATTGGTATTTGTAGGTCATAACGGGTCCCTGTGCGTGTGGCAAAACATTGCATGTATAGGTCCACGTTTTGGTATAGCCCCCACATAAAGGTACCTCCCGATATTCGGTAATTTGATAATTTTTGCCACATTTTTTCACGGATTTGTCTGAAAATTGGTATTTGTTGGTCATAATGGGTTCCAGCTCCGGTGGCGAAACATTGCATATATGGGTCTATGATTTGGTATAGCCCCCATATAACGGTACCTCCCGATATTCGGTATTTTGATGGTTTTTGCCACATTTCTTCTAACGTTTCCTTTACCCTAAGGTGGAGGGTATTAAACGTTTGGCCCGGCCGAACTTAATTTGTTTTTTTTTTTTTGAAAAATTATTTTTGTTACTGAGCCACTGTACCGTGTTCACATAGTATTTCCCCCTTCAAGCCCTTCGTATGTGTGTGTGTGCGTTTGAGTGCGTGTGTAGCATTCACATCTCAATGATTCAATTGCTTTGCTCGCTTGAATGTATGGCCGACTTGTATGTGTGGCCAGTATTGGTTGGTTGGTTCGGTTGGCTGGCTGGCTGGTTGGTTGGTTGGTAGTAGACCATGGCACAAACAAATGCAACAACACACAGCGAAGGCAGTTAGGTGGTTGCTTCACGAACAACGAATTGATTTCGGTTTTTTCAGTTTATCAAACACATTCGTCGCGTTCAGAACGTGTAGACGCCAGAAAGAATGAAAGAAAGGAAAATAACAAAACAAAAATAACAAAAAAAAAAATAAAAATATTGTAAAACAAGAAGATAAAATGTCAACGGTTTTTGAAATTCAATAAAAAAAATAAATAAATTAATAAAACAAAAACTAATAAATTTTTTTTGTGAGAAGCAGATAATTGTGACATGGAAATAAGGCAATTTTAAAAGAAAAAAATACAAAATGAAATAGAAAATATTAAACACAAAATATTAATTTGAAAAAAAATTGTGAAAAGAGTTTAAATGATTTTGTTTTAAAAATCATTGGAAAATTAAAAAAATTAGCCGAAAAGGCCCTTTGTAAAAAAAATTGCCATTGGAAGTTGAAAAAAAATTTTGGTAACTTAACCTCACATCAATGTGGAACGGAATGTAATAAAGTGGAAAAGAAAAATTACATATTTAATTATGTGAACAAATATTAAAAAAAGAAAAATAAAAATTCTTAAAACCCACACACACACCTTAAAATCCAAAGAAAATCTCCCTCCTCCAAAAAAAAACCGTTAAGCCAGTGTTTGAAAATTAAAAAAACAGAGGAGAAAAAATTAATCCTAAACTTTGAAAGTTTTTCTTTGTGTGGCATTACAACTGCAACTGCAACCCGTAACCGTAACACAACTTCCTTTAAGACACACCAACAACAAGAGGAAGAAGAAAAAAAGAAAGAAAACCGTAAAATAATCACAAGTTGCAAACCGTGTGTGTGAAGAGAGTGTGAGAAAGTACGAGAGCACATTGATGACCATTCTCATTGCATTGCATTTGTGGATCATCATCATCATTGCCGAATCAATGAAACACAACCAGCGGAGACATTGAGCTCATACATTGGCCAGTCCTCCGACAAACAAAAAAACGTACGGTCTGCCGGTCAGCCATCGATTGGATATTTTTTTTCGATTCTTCTATTTTTTTCTCCCGTGTGTGGATAATTTACGTGAATTTTCTTCATTGTCTGCGGCTCCTGGATTAGTTGTTGGCGTTTTTTTAAAGAAAAGCAAAAAAAAAAAAATAAAAAGTTTTTCCCTTTGTTTTTCTCCAACAACGTTGTGCAAAACCCAGAAACAACAACAGCAAAAAAAAGAAGAAGAAAAAAAAAACAAATCCAATGTGTTATTTATCTTGTGCTTTGTACTTGGAAATCTATGTGGGATTATAAACTCAACCCTTAAATCGGGGGGATACAATGAGGCCAGAAGTATACGATGTAAGTAGCAAAGGCAAAACATTTTTTTTTTTACTTTTTCCCCGTTTTTTTTTACATTTATACCTACCTAAGGTAAATATAATACAGACCTCTGTCATAAGAGTGCAGTAGTTTCTGAGTTTATTTCGTCAGACTGTTGTTATTCCAATAAAGAGCAAAACAAAAAATAAAACAAAAAACTACACAGGTCAGCAAAAATAATTTTAGTTTTGATTCCTAAATTAATTTTTTTTTTATAAAATTTTCAGTTTTTCACTTTCGGAAAAAAATCCACTTAAAATAAATTGCATCGAATATTTAGTTAGATTTTTGGGCAAATTAATATAAATTGATTAAATTTAATTTATTAATTTTTTATTGTTTTTTATCTATTTTATTAAAAATAATTATAAAGTGATTGAGTATTAGTATCTTATGAAGAAAACATAAATTTAATTATAGTGGATTAGTATTGTGAAAGAAAATTAAAATAATTAAAGAAATTATTAATTTAAAGAAAATTTAATTTATTGTACCTTGTGTATCAAATAAAAATTAAGTATTTAATTTTTTCGATTTTAAAAGAGTTAAGATTATTATGAAAGTTAATGTGGCAAAATTATTTTTAGAAATTAACTTTTAATTTTCATAAAGTTTTATAATATTTTTTTAATAGTATTTAATTCAATACTACAAAAAATAATTCTAAAGCTCCACGAAAACTAAAAGTTAGACCCAAAAATATCCAAGGCAATTTTTTTATGCGATTTTTTTCGAGAGTGAAAAACTGGAAATTTTATAAAAAAATTAAATTTGGGAATCAAAGACGTAATGGTGCATAAATGAAAAATTCAGTTTCTGCCTTCATATACCAGAAGTGAGAAACTAAATTCTTCTCTCATATACCATTCTCTCAATGCTTCCCAAAATATAACCTTAAAATAAGCTCCATTTTGCCGACGGGTTTTTATAAAATGTACTTTTTATAAACATTTATAAACCACTCGAGACAATGGAATTTCTTGGAACAAAAGTTAGTCTAGCTGTTCTTTGTATGCTGCCACACCCATGGAATATTCTTGAATTTTTCTAGAAATTTTCCACAACAAAGTGAGGTTATGTCTTGTAAATGACATGTGAAAAATTATCGGATATTTTTTTAGAGCCCCGGCAAAATTATATAAGCTAATCTCATAAGATATATAATTTTTTCATAATATTTCATTGAAAACACCAAACTTTTAAAATAAAAAATTAAAATTTATAAATCTTGATAACTTTAAATGCAAATATATTAAATATTCCGCATTTGTCATTTGAACGTGTGGGATATTTTGACACTACTCGAATGAAACGCCAATTTTTAATATTAGATTTATTACATTATGTCTACAAAACATAGACATTTTTTAGTTGCTCTGTACCAGAAACTGCAAAAATCTACTAGTTTTGCATTTGTTTTTTTTTTTCGAAATCTTAAAGTGAAAATCGATTATCGTGGTAAAAAGTTTTAAGCTTGCAGTTCTGAAACGACTTTATTGTTGTTTTTTTCTTTTTTTGTGGAGGGTTCCCCAAACATAGTCAAATAAATTTTAATGCAAATATGTCAAATAGATACAAAATAGACTCTAGTAATATCCGGTCCATTTCGAGACTATCCTCTCTCTCTCTCTCTTTCATATAATTACATGATTGGTCTTACAATTTTAAGTAGAAATACATTAAACAATCTATATAACTTTGTAAATACTAATATCATGCTCCAAAGTGCATGGAGATTTGGGAACGCCTTTGTTTATATTGCTTGGTTGGAGGTTTATAACTCAAAATGCAAATATGTTGACAAAAAATTGAAAGACATATGTACATAGGGTGGAGCTCTTAAGATTTGATTTTATAACTTTAAATGCAAATATATTAAATTCAAAAATGCATCTAGTGTTAGTATAAATTTTTTTTTTGGAATGGGAACAGCTTTGATATGAGCGCGATGTGAAAGAATTATCAGCGTAGCAATTTTGGAGTCTTTAAAGTGATATCGTATGTAGACAATTTCCCTTTTGTGGGCGCCACATTTCGAAAGTGGGAAGAACCTGGGAAGTATTTTATTTACAATGAAACAAATTAAACCTGATTTTCAGAAAGCAGGATTAGTTGCATGTTTTGTGAAAATATAAAATGGAAAATTAATTTAAAAGGATTTATTTCACTTTAAAACATTGGAGTTATACTCATGCTAAACCGAATATGAAAACCTTTTTTTAGAACGAAAACGAAATTATTATTTTCCAAAAAAAAAAATAGTTTTATAATAAAAATACTAACGTATGACGACTGGTTTTCTTCTACCACGTTTCCATCGTATATACACACAAATCGGAGATTTGGTACCCAATTTCAATGAAATCAAATTTGACAAGGTTAATTATAGAAAAATTAATTTTAACTTAATTTTACAATGATTGCATGATGATTTTTTGTGCACACTTTATGAGTATTTTTTTAAAATATGTTAAATGCAATGCTTCTTTCGATTTCGATTGAAATATATTTTTTGGGCAAGTTTTATGGCTATTTCTTTCATTTTAGATTTCCTAACTTTAAATGCAAATATGTTAAATTCAATACTGCTTTCCTGCATGGTCATCATCCAATTCAGCGGCACCCTAGAAATATATAAACAGTAAATTATAAAATATAGTAGTTGACAGTTTAAATTCAAAGTTTATACCCTTGTTTTATTCTCGCTAGGTCTTCTGATTTTCTAATTTAATGCTTATTTCTTAAAAAATAAATCACGAAAAGATTTCATAACATAATGCTGCTTCCGATTGAAATATATTTTTCGGGAACACATTTTGAGTATTTTTCCGAAATGTAAGATTTCATAACTTTAAATGCAAATATGTTAAATTTAATGCTGCCTTCCTGCATGGTCATCATCCAATTCAGCGGCACTGTAGAAATATATAAAGAGTTAATCAAAAAAATATCATAATTAATATTTTAAATTCAAAGTGCTTACCCCGGTTTTATTCTCGCTTATTCCTCTGATTTTTTATACAATGCTTATTTCCTAAAAAAATAAATCACGAAAAGATTTCCGATTGAAACATATTTTTCGGGCACACTTTCTGAGTATTTCTTTCCGAATTTATAGATTCCATAACTTAAAATGCAAATATGCAAAATTCAATGCTGCTCTCCTATGATGGCCATATCCAATTCAGCGGCATGCTAGAAATATATAAAGAGGTTTTCAAAAAATATTATAATTAATATTTTAAATTCAAAGTGTATACCCTTGTTTTATTCTTAGGCTTATTTCCTAAAAAATAATTCGCGACAAGATTTTAATTCATAATGCTGCTTCCGATTCCGATTGAAATATATTTTCCGGGCACACTTTTTAGTATTTCTTTCCAAATTTATAGATTTTATAACTTTAAATATATATATGTTAAATTCAATGCTGCTCTCCTACATGGTCATCATCCAATTCAGCAGCATGCTAGAAATATATAACGAGTTAAATAAAAAAATATAATAGGTAATAATTTAAATGCTTGGTCTTCTGATTTTATAATTCAATGCTTATTTCCTAAAAAATAAATCACGAAAAGTTTTCTTTACAAATTAATGTTTCCGATTGAAGTATTTCTTTCCGAATTTGTAGATTTCATAACTTTAAATGCAAATATGTTAAATTCGATAGTGCACTCCTACATTGTCATTATCCAATTTAGCGGCGTGCTAGAAATATATATATAGTTAGTTATATTTTTAATTCAAATACTTACTCCGGTTTTATTCTCACTTGGTCTTCTGGTTTTCCAATTCAATGCTTATTACCTAAAAAATAAATCAAGAAAAGATCATAGATCAATATAATGCATTTTCAGAGCATGGCGAAGGATCAACTGTTCCACTTTACATCATCTATAAAGGCACATGGCCACACATCAAACTCTTTCACTCAATGCGAGCAAATCTACAGTTCATTGCACAAAACATTGTAGTCTAGTGCCAAATAGAATACAAATAATGCATTTGGAATGAACTTAAGGATTACAATGACAAAAAAAAAAATCAGAACAAATTTTGATTTAATTATCATATTAATTGAAAATACATTTCTCTTAGGAAATTACATTTTCAAACAGTGTTCCAAGTTCCAAGAAATATTTCACTTGTTTTATTATTTACATTATACGTATGTATGTAGGGAAAAAAAAAATAAATAAAAAAATATGTTCTAAGCCACCATAACATAATTGTTAGACCTATGTGTGTGTATGTTTGCATTTAGCATGGCCATGTGAGTAAGTGGCTGAGTGACTTGTTGTTAAATTCAATAACAAAAAACACCAGCCAAACACGACAATGACGACGACGACAACGACAGTGAGACAGCCAGTTTACTAGCAATCCATCCAGCCATCCAGGCCATTTATGTTATGTGCTGTGCTTCTTGCCAGCCGCCTCAACAAGCCTAGGCATGCATTTGAAATATGATTATGTTTTGATGACACAACAATGAACACTAACAGCAATGCAACAACAACGCCAACAACAAAAACCAAAACAGCAATAACAGAGTTGTAACATACAAGCATTTGCATGTGCAAACAATCTCCCCCCTCAGCAACCAACAGCTCTATGATTTTTTTCTACAGGAAAAAGCTAAGGCCTAACAGCAGCCTAGCATAGTACTATGCAACGTAAAGCTCACTTGGCCGAATATGAGCATGTATGTTTGTGTGTGTTTGTATTAGTGCCATGTGCCATTGTCCGAGCACTGTTGTACAGGGACAAACGGGCACAAACAATATTTACTACAGCCGATGAACATTAGCCGATGTCTCGTTGCAGCAACAGAAATGTCTCACCATTTGTACACTCGCAACACCGCACACACACACAGCCACAGACATCCGAATATTTATAAAGAATAAAAATCAGCTAGTGCCAATATGCAACCCCACGTACTTGCTTGCTTGCTGGCATATTTTGCCGGGCCT